ACTTGAACTCAACGGTTACTCGTGCTTCCGAAGCGACACACTAATAATGTCCACGGTTGTATCTTACTTTACATCCTTTCTTCCTTGCATGGGAGACTTGTGAGCACATACCGATGTGACGATGGTTTGTGTGAGCTACTGTGGTGCTCCATTCGCCTCATTCGCGGAGAACTGCTTGTGGGCACAGTTTATCGCAGCCCCCTGAGTTATTGTTTGGATTGGCTGCCCCATCTTCGAACCCACGTAAGTCGTCCACACTTTCTACTTATGGGCGATTTTAACTGTCTTCGAATACAATGGTGTGATGTGCATTTGATTCCTGGACATAGTGAGGTTGAAGCAAAGTTCGTGGATTTGGTACTTGAAACTGTTGCATCGCAACACATATGCCAGCCAACACGCATAACAATACGCTCAAGCCCGTCCTGTCTCGACCTGATGTTCTCGAGCTACGAACAACGAGTTCGCGACGTTCGGATCCTGGAGCTCTTGACTACAAGCGACCACTCAGTGCTCATAGCTGATATGGAATTACCTTTGCCGTATTCACGTCCGCTGGAACCAGCTCACAACTACTGGAAAACGGACTTTGATGGTCTAGCTCGTGCCGCGAGCCAACCGAATTGGTCTCTGTCACAAGCTGCATCTGTGGAAGACTGTTGGATATTTATAAAAGAATGATTGACGTCATTGTGTTCCCAATTTGTGTCATTGAAATCTCGGAAGGTTAGAAGGATTAAGCCTCATTGGTTTGACAATGAGTATAGAAATCTGGCTCGGAGGCGGCACAGACTGTGGGACAGGTTGCTCCTCTCTGGCTCTGCCAATCATTACGAAGGGTCTATGAGTCTCCGGAATCTCTGCAACAGTGCAAAAAAGAATAAGCGCCGACATTTCGAAGAGCAGCTCGCAATAGCCGCAACCCCCCCCCCAAAGAGAATATTTGCTTACGTAAAGCGACCTCTGAAGCCAGCAGGTGATGTGCCATTGCTGGATATCCCGAGTGGACATCCCCTGACCTCCAGCACTGAGGGTGCATCCGCGTTGGCGGCGCACTTCGCTTCTGTATTTGCGAATGACCAGGTGTCTGTTCCGAGTTTGACGTGTACCGCTTTTACCGAACTCGACAGTTTGGATTGCGGCGTTGAAGAGGTATGTCAACTACTCGCCAACCTTGACTGCACCAAACTTGCCGGACCTGATGGGCTACACCCACTGATTCTCAAGTCACTTTCGGCCATCATCTCTCCTGTCGTGACTGATCTTTTCAATTGGTCTTTGTCCGAAGGTTCGTTGCCGACTGACTGGAAGTGTTCTGTGGTGAAGACTGTTCCGACGGGCGGTGACCCCAGAAAAGTAGATAACTACAGGCTGATTTGTCTTACACCTATTTTGCTAAAGATTGCTCAGAAAATCGTGAAGAAGGGATTGCTGCAGTTGCTACAGTCAAAAGTGGTCCTAACGCCCGCACAGCACGGTTTTATGCAAGGCCGCTCATGCATGACAAACTTACTTGTGACGAGGCATGAGTGGTTAAAGGCAATAAGCGAGGGAAAATCTGTCGACGTGATATTCATCGATTTCAGTAAAGGGTTCGATAAGGCCAGCCATGTGGTCCTTCTTCATAAACTCAGGATGTGTGTTGTCGGTGGCTCACTGCACTGGTGGGTCCGCGACTTTCTTGTTGGACGAAAGTGGAGGGTACAGATCGACGACCATCTAACTAACAGGTATCCCTCTCTAAGTGGCGTGCCTCAAGTCACTGTGCTGGGGCGCACTCTGTTCCTGACCCACATCAACGATCCACCTCAGCTTATCCGGTCGCCGTGTGGGTTGTTTGCGGACGACATGAAGATTTGGAGAGAAATTGACGCTCCCGATGACTGTGGCGTACTTAAGCAAGACCTCAACCGCCTATCCACAGGGTCTGCAGCAATTCATCTCTCGGTCAACCCGGCTAGGTGAGTATTTATGAGCCTGGGGAAGGGTGCTGACGACCGAACCTACACCCTTGATGGCCAACCGCTATATCCCACACCCTCCGTGAAGGACCTAGGTGTACTATCGCGCTACGATTTGAAGTTCGTGGACAACACGAACAGGTTATATCTTAACGGACTTCGCATGCTTTGGGCGCTCAGACCTTGCTTCGGCACATGGTCTGAAGAGTTTGTCACTCGCCTCTTCTCTTCCATCATTAGGCCACTGCTAGAGTACGGTTCGCCCGCCTACTTTCCGAACACCCATGGCGAGGCACAAAATTCCGAACGGGTCCAGCACATTGCTACCAGACTCATCCGGAGTTTAGGTGGCTTGGGGTATGGAGACCGATACGAGAAACTAAGGCTCTATACCTTATTCTACCGTCGGATACTGGTCGACCTCATTATGACCTACCTTGTTCTACGTCTCGGTGACTTCCCCATGCTGAGGCCAATACTGCACTTACGAGGGCCATGCAGCACACGCGGACACAGATACAAACTTGTCGTGCCTGATGTGAAGCGTCTTCCCCACTCACTGTGCTTCGAACGAAGAGTGGTAAATATTTGGAGCAGTTTGCCTGAACGTGTGATGGAGGCAACATCTGTGCAGCAGTTCAAACTTTGTTGGATCCATATTTTCCACTATTCGATTCAGAGGACGATTGCACACTTACGACAACACGTCACATTTGTGAGTCCTTCAATACCGTGAGTCAGCTATTTTAAATGTTACATGAGAACAATAACGATATTCACGACAGACAATTTTTATGACGTTTTTTTACCATCTTTCGAACACGTCGTACAGAATTCATTTCAACTTCTCTATACTAGAGTATTCAATATTCAATCACGGTTCAGTTTCTCCACATCCAAATCGGAAGTTGATGTACTTCGATTGAGCCCACTTAGTTGTTTTAACACCCTCCGTCGTTCACCGCGGCTACTGTCTTCATGTTTATCCTGGAGGGACAAGTTGTTGAGACAGCGCAACTCTTTATTTGTAGAACAGATATTAACTTTACAATGTTGTGGTCCTCTCCTTTGGAAGCTTTTTCTTTTTGTCTTTGTAGCCGTTTTTAATGGAGGGTGGAAATTCTGTCCGCATAAATAAACAGATTTTCGCGTGGATAGCAACGCAAAAAAGTTCAAATAACTTGTCAACTGATAGCAATACGTGAAAACATCAATATTTAAAAATAAACTGAATTCGGTGGATGACAGCATTTTAGCAGTCAATCAGTATACTGTGCGGAACACTGCCTCCTCCTGAATTTGCGGTCGTTGCAATGAGTACTCATCTTATAATTTGTCACAGAGTAAATCACACGACGCTGTTTACTTGTTGAGTTATCAGAGCTACCTATATTCGCCCTAGTACATACGGAGAGCAGCTTCATGTAGTTACCAAATACTAGATCAAGAGTTGCAGGGGATCTAGTGAGATAATTTACGATTGTTTGTAGCCTAAGACTTGTGAGAAAAACGTTTTCAAATGGTCCGAAATAACCAGCAAATATTCATAGTGGACAATTGACGTGTTCTATGACGGCCGCAGTAAACTCATCTTAAAATGCCTCTACTTCAGTTTTCGGACAGTTGGGGGAAATATAGATGTTAGCCGGTAAGATTGAGCGGTACCCACTGATACATTTCGACTTGCACTTCAGAAGTAAGCACTAATATTTTGGGCGGAGAAACAAAACAAAACTTTCATGGATACGCATCAGAAAGTGTTGGTGTAGATGATCACTCCACCTCCACCAATTCAAATGCATCATCCACCTTCTCGTGAAGCCAAATCTCTTGCAGCAAAAGAATGCCTAACTGCGAATATTCTCAGGAGTTGATGGTGCTTGTTAGTTTATCGATTTTCCCTAAAAGTGTACGGATCTTAGAAGTAAGTAAGGTAGGTTGCCCAGGTTTCAACAGCTTTTTCTTCCGAAAACCAAACTTCCATCCAGCGCGGTGTCTTCTTACACAATTATTGTGCTTCTTCTAAATTGGTTTCAATTTATTTCTTATAACGTGACCGTTTGATAAGGTATGGCTGCGGAGCGCACTATGATTTCAAAATATCCCGCGTATAGGTCAGAATTCTAACAAATGTGGCCAGATAAAACGAAGTGAAAATATAATGCTTGATATGACGCAAAAATGTGTGTTAGAAGTTCCACAGGGGGGAATCATAGAGCACGACCGAGTTTGTAGGTTCCGCCGTTTGGGGAGCGGGCGATGCTCAGTCACCGGCCGTGATCGAGATGATCGAAGTTCACGGTCAAGAGCAGGGTTTGCAGTGGCACCGGCTTCTTACACAATTCAGTTACATTAGCATGACCACTATGTAGCCTGAACATCGTCCAGTCGTCTTAATCCTCATTTCTTGCTAGTAGGTTGCTAATTTTCTGCTTAGAATATGTGATGCGTCCAATTCAATTTGCAACATGTCTAATGTGATTTGCAAAACGTCCAGTGTGGTTTGCTAAACTTCCGAATTGGTTTGCAAAAACGTCCAGTTTAAAGTGAATATGGCATATGGTGTTATTCACAATAGCGGTGTTATGTTGAGCCGCTATATCTTAACCATGCTCACTGGCGCCCACTGCACGACCACTGTATTGGATTCAGCTTAACCACACTCGTCCTCTTCAAGTTACAGAATCCACGGAGTTACCACTCTTCACGACGCATCCCCTAGACGCTGGTCAAACATTCGCGCAAACACGTTATGTTAGGCTTTCAAAGACCACTGTTCTCAGTTCCTGGCGAGCCACTCGAAGTACTTGCTTATTTCATTATACATCAGTGGTTTCGTGGTTTTTATATATCTGACCTAGCGATGTAGGGTGCAGCTATCAAAAAGGTTTATACCATTTTCCACTAATGAGAAACACCCCAGCCAGTCACATATTTACCATCATTTTAAAGGGCAATTAAGCACCTGAGCGCACATCACTTCCGTGGCTGGTTCACAATTGAAATCTACCTGCAGCATAATTTCCATGAGTTCCCGAAATGCACTACATCGATCCACTGCATATCGCCTCTCAGGTAACATTTAAAATGCCAATCTGTACTGAGTGCTTGTATCTTTTCTCCGAAATACCGCCGTTTCTACTATGCATTCTGCTACGCAGTACACATATGGTTAAACGTTTTCAACGTCTTTCGACTACTAGTGACCTGTTGGACCACATACACAATTGTCGCTTTTTAACTGAACATCTTTCAAATTTAACTACCTTTTTCAGACCAAACTAGATGTTTTTAGACCAAACTAGACAGTTTATGTTTTAATTCGACAGCGAAGAAAATAACAACGGCTATTTGACGAAGAACTGTCTTGCTGCTGCCTTTGTGGTGTTTAGCACCATATAGGGACGCAATTCGGGAGCTGCTATGTTTGACTCCCGATCCTCCCTTGAATGACCGCAAACTCTTGCCGTCGCTGGCATCAAGCTTATCATCATAACCTAAAACTCGTTTCCTCAGCGCTTAGCAAGCAGGAAGGAGGCGAGTGGGCGATATACATACATTGCCATCTTGTGAATGCACTCTGAATTGGGTAACCGATGGATGTTAGTACAAGCCCTCCTCTTGATCGTGTGCGTCGTACATCTCGATCAACCGTGGTGACCCTGTTCTCCCCTGTGTCTCTATCTGCCTTCATTCAATGTGTGTATGAACCTGTTCAGCTGCGTAACTGTCGGGAAGTCAAATTCCCGAGAACGGATACAACAGCCTTTATGTGCGACGGACACAGGTTCACTCATGAAGAGGGATGCGCGCGAGCGTCTTCATGCCAACACTCACTTGGTGACGTCAGTTGTGGTGATGAATAGCTAAGGCATTGTTCACTCAAAGATCACGAACGATGCCACCTCCTAAGTTCCCGATGTTCGTCGAAGAGCTTGCAGCGTTTGCACGCGCAAACTGGAGATGAAGGGTCCATGGCTGATCATGGACAATACCAGAGTCCACATACGATCTAAAGAGGATACTGGACTCGTTTTATTGGCTGAAGTACCTGCCACCTTAATTCAACATGCTAAATCCGGCAGAAATGTCTTTCTGAATGCGGAAGCGTGGGCTAGTCGCTTGATGTCCAATCCGACATCTAACCGGACGTTAGGTGCGATGATTGTAACGCAGCTGGACTGCACGAGTTGCGTCCTTAATTTGTTGATGAACTTGACAAGGGGCGCAGCAGAACAGCATCTCATCAACTCACTGTATTCAACCTTATGATTTCTTCCATGTTAATCCGTTGCAGACGTTCCACGCACCAAACAAACTGTGTCCACTTTGGCACGAAAAATCTTTATTTGGTCGGAAATACGTCCATTTGGTCTAAAAGCGTACATTGGTTTGAAAGGCATCCGATTTAAAGGGAAAGGTATGTATTTGATTATATATGCAGTGAGCATTTGCTCACCTGCGGAGCATCAACTTAGCCGGAGCCGAATGGATACCGCCTGAAGTGTTAAAATTCGGTGGACCCGCGTTAATACATACGCGTGTGGTTTGGAGAAGAGGTGCCGGCTGAGTTGAGTGGTCTCTTTTGCTGCCACTATACAAGAGCTAAAGGAGCAAGCAATGCGCCACGAATTATCGTTGCGTCAGCTTGGTTACTTGCCTGAGGAAGGTGATTACACTAATCCTGTTCAACCCCCACTTCACACAGGTCGTAGAACCGAGCATGCCCGAAGTGCAATGTGGTGGTGTTTGCGGCTCGTCAATTGCAGGAGAAATGCAGAGAACGACACCAGCCGTTCTACTCGCTGTTTGTTGATTCCAGCAGAGTATTTGGTACGGTGAACCGCGAGGTATTGTGCTAGTGTTGGGGAAGTTAGGTTGTTCGTGTAAGTTTGTAAGTTTAAGTAAATGTCTACACAGTGATATGCGCGTAAGGTTGCAGCTGATTTGACTTACCTCGGATGGCCTTTCTGTTGCCTCTGGCGTGAAGCAAGACTGTGGCTTAACCCCTACCCTGTTTAGTATTTACCGAAATGCTGGGATCTCCATTTAATGCTTATGGTTGCAATGCCCGTGTGGAGTGCGGTAATGAATGGTGAGTTGTTGAACATCCGTCATTTCGAGGCGCAACCACAACCTCTGAGACAACCATCCGTATTCTGCTGTTTGGCGACGACTACGCACTGTTTGCACACAACCAGGATGAATTGCTGCACATGACAACGATCCTCGCTTCGATAGCGGCAAGCAAGACTGTCTTTTTCAGCCTTCACCAAGAATAGAATCCATGGGACTGCCGAAATCCAGATTGGCGCTTAGGTTTTGGAAACCACTTCCAGATTTTTTCCTTTGGGAGTGTTCTTTCTATGGACCTGCAGATGATGAGCGAGGTGCGCATCCGCATATCGAAAGTTGCTGTTGCACTTGGAAAGCTTGGAAATCGGATGTGGAAGAATCACCAGCTATTTGTTAGGAAAATGATGTCGATGGTGCCGGATGGTACCAGAAGGACATCCGATATCTAAAGTGTTTTCACTAACTGCGCCTGCGCTGGATTCTGCTGATATTTTAGGTGCCAGATTTGCTGACACGAAGGTGTTCCTCCTCAGTGACATGTATGTAGTAGACTACATACATCTAATAATAATATTAATAATAATGTTTATTTTCGGGTTTACTAGACGCCCTTTTCGATGTGATCAATTTATTTACAATGTTTTATACACTTCTTACTGTAAATTCCAAATGTCAGGCAGAAATAAGAGCAGTTTTTTGACATCCATGTTTTTCCCAGTTCAAGGCACAAAACAATTTATGGCGTCTTGACAGAGAGCTCCGTGTACGGACGGAACCGTTTCATTTTCCTTGTGTAAAGGATGAGGAGCAATTGTGTGGTGATAATAGGAATATGTAAGTGGAAATCATACTTATTCAGCATAGCATCTATTGCAGACTAAACGTTTTTTAAGCATTGTGGCGTTCTGAAACGCAGCAGTAAAAGAAGCACATTTATTCCTTTACACTTCGGCAGCTGTGCATATGCACCGAGACAGACAGAATGGGCGATTTATTTGTAGCTTGAGGTGACGTGGTTGATAATTGTCGACTGGCTCGGGCGTTTTGTTTTTGTACGCTTGGCCTAAGCGAGTAAGAGGTAAAATGAAAAAAAGCAATATTGGAAATAAGGATGAAGATGTTGGAAGCAGAATCGGTTAGCCGCATTTTGCTGCCTGACATGTTTACACGAGGGCAACTAGGGATGCATAGACGAGTAAGAGCAGATTAGATAATAAAAAATGGATGAAGATAGGTTCGAATAATGCAGTAAGAAGACGAACACTGGCAGATGTCAACATTTCGTATTGTCTCTTCAGTGCCAACACAATAACATGAAAATATATAAGACGACAGATAGGGTGAGACCGGAACAAGTTAGAACAGGGTAGAGGGGCAGGCGTGACACCCCTACGCCCAGGGCAGCCGTAGGCTTACGAACAGCTGTTTCTGCACACAGAGTGCGGGTTTGATACGGCTGATCGCGACTGCCTCTGCAAAACGTAGGAAACGGGTGTTAGTATGTCTTAACACGATTGTAAACATTGTGGCCGGATCAAACTGGTGACAGGTGGCCAGTAAGTGCCTACCTATGGATGAAGCAGGTGGTTTACGTGAACAGATGGTATGAGCAACCGAGGACTGGGCGATTTGACGCTGCAACCATTTAGGTACATGTTCCCTTATTCTGGAATTCGACGATCGATTGGTACGGCCAATGTAGTGTATACCACAACTACAAGTAAATTGGTAAATGCAATGTGAGTTGGCGCCAATAGGTTGTCTTTCCGTCATTGGGGGGGGGGGGAAGATAGGTTCGGTTAGCGTTTCCTTCTCAGGTCACACTTTTGTTATGGTTGTAAGGTAAGCGTGGTTGAGTAAGGAGAATATGAAGAGTGGAGTCAAGGATGGTTATCTCAATCTCATTTTGCATTTCCTCTGTAATCCACACTTAATATTGTGTCTGTGAGGTATGCTTTCCGGAGAAAAATGGGAAAGAAGGTCTGGCAAAGAGTGAAGGGGATTCTGTCAACATTTTATCCTTTTTCATACACATCTTCAGGAGCGCTTGGCCAAGGTAATACGGTGTATGTAGCATACTTACTGTGTATTTGTAATCCACACACCTGATATGGCTCGGACAAGTCAGTAGTACGGATTCGACGAGGATACCCGAGCAGTTGCTGTGTGGTCAACCTAGTTTGGGGAAACGGAACGTGGGGAAAACTAGAGCTCCGTTACCACGACAGAATAAAATTGGGTTTTTCGCAAACTAATGTTAATTTTAGCTATTGTGAATCCAAGCGGGGGATCGTAGGGAAAATTGCGCGCACACCAAGAAGGTGGTTGCGCACATGAACGATAAATTGTTGCAACATAAGGAGGAGAATCATCGATTGAGGAAGCTACAGGATCTGATGGAGTCTAGTCCATTGGCATCTAGTGCACAGTGCTGTAGCACATGCGGTCGCGAATGCCTAAGCCAAGCTGTTCTGCCACTCCACTAACTTGGGCATGCGGGGCCAATATCTACTTGTCTCCCGGTCTTATTCCTTCGCGTGTACACTGGATATGGGGTCTGTGGATGTAGCTGTGGGTAGTGCATCGCAAGCTGCCCATGGTCCTTCTGTAGGCGCAGGCGTCCAGTGGCTGTTCGATGTCTCAGTGATAAACAAATCAGGAAACGAAAGCAGTCAGTCGTACACAATGTTTAGTTACGTACACACATGTATCTGATGTTTTCAAATTTAGTGTACAAATGTACGTATGTTATCTTTTGTGCAATTGATGATCAACAATCTGGACCTTTCGTGGACTATGTTATGTACTACCTCATTGCCAACACAAACAATAATTTTCTGGATCAAACTTCTTTGCCTGCAAACTTTGCGCCTGCCACGCCGGCGTGCAATGACATAGTCTAGCAGGTGAGCGTTAACAATCCGTTCGTGCTTCCAGGTAGCAATATTATTCACAACTTGTGCAAACCGGGTGTTCGTGATCATCAGGCGTGCATGGGG